TAAAAATTGTCCCCAAACCAATTTAAAGGACTACGGTCAAAGTTTTAAAAAAATATTATACACACTCATTTTCCTTGGTTTTCAACTAGAAAATTCTTCTTTCCCCTTTTCTCCCCTTTTATTTGTTAATGCCTGTAATGCTGTATTTCAAGGAGGAAGCCCAGTCTTCTAGTAGGGATGCTCTAGTCCTCCCCACCCTAAAAGCTAAACAGCCACCTCTTCACACACACTCACACATGTGCACACACATGTGCATGCACATACACTCCCGAGTTCTTTGAGGCCAAACCACACCCTATCTTTATTTCCAGTTGGTTGACTGGCCCAGCTCAATTCTATCACCAAAACCTGCTTATTAACAATTCCACAAGTCTTGCCACCTGCTCCTCCCATGCTCTCAGAAATAATCTGCCTATCCACATTGTGTTGACTCAATCTTTACAATTTATGGCAAGTCACCTTCAACAAACTCAGCAGATTATCCTCTTAAGCCCCAGATGTGAACACCAGGCTGCTGTAACCTGTAGTTTATAACTAACTGGCTGTGTGACTTTAGGCAAACCATCTCCTTTCTCCAGATTCCACTGTCACCTCCAACAGGGGATGAATTGCTCATCCTCACCACAAGCTGATCTCAATAAGAAAACGCCAGAACTGGCTGCGTGAGTCCCATTGAAGGCTCTAGCCTTTCTTTGCCTCCTGCATTTCCCTTTTCTCCCTGAGACTGCTTCTCGGGCGGAAGTCTTTCTTGCTGGACTTGTGGACTCTACCATGGTACCCATGGTCCCTCACCCTCAGCCACCCTTTCCCGGAACTTCCTGGTGTCCAGGAACCCCTCGGTCTGTGGTCCATCTCATGCAGTGCCATAATCTGATCTGACTCCCACCCCCCTGAATTTCCATTTGCATTGTTCAGAGGTAATTGCTTCTCTGAAATGCTCAGATAACTGCCAGGAAAATATTTATCTGTTCATTGGTGCTCCTGGAGGACTTTGTGGGCCAGACTGGGCCCCGCCCTGTAGCAGGCTCTGCCCTCAGGCCCGTGACTCACTCACTAAGCAGCAGGGATCAGTAGTCACTCCCTCACCAGCTCAGAAAGCGTTTACAGCACACACCAGCCCAGCTCCTTTCCTCCACACATGCCCGTTCACCAGCCACCCAGAAAGAGTAAACAACACGCCCACTCACCCGCACGCCCTGCGTCTGTCTTCCTGGTGACCGAGGCTGCATTTTCTGCTGTTCCTGGGAACTCTGCAGACTGAATGGATGCTTTGCCTGAATCTCTTCCAAGGAGGAGGCTAGAGAAAGTTCTACTCCATAACTGTAATTTAAAGTGGGTGGGTGGGAAGAAGTGGGTCTAAAACTATTTAAGTATAAAGACTGTTCTCAGTGCGTTTGAACCAGATCTGAGTTTGGCATCCATTTCTCTTTAGCTCATTTATTTGTAACCTTTGGCCCCTCTGCACACCTGATTTCAGAGTCAGACGATTACATTAAACAGGCAGCTCTTGAGTCATGTTTACAGCAATTGTGGCTCCCCAGTCACTGAATTGCATTAGTGATGGAGCCAAACCCTCACCAAGATATTTATGTGCAGGACTGAAAACCACAAACACACACAAGGCTCCAGGACCTGTCTTAGGCGGTGGGTGAGGAGCAGTGTCTATAAAGGGCCACTCTACCAAATCCTGGATTCCTAATTTGGTCTCATTTCTGAGAAGAGGTTATGATAAGGGCAGCACCACTAAACACTTAAAAGCACACACACTATTTCTGGATAGAGCCACAGAAGGAAACCAGGTTTATGTGAGGGGGATAAATATGTGTGTGAAAGAAGGGGCCCAGTGAATGGAATTCCTTTAGATTTTCAAAGACTTTTAAACAACTTCTATCCCAAAGGCCAATTAAAAAAAAATTGGTCATCATACAACCAAAATCCATTCTTTTTTTTTTTTTTTTTTGTATCATGGATATAGAAGTTGTTTAAGGAGACAGAAAATTAAATTAAGGGAAATAAGTACATCTTAATCTGTGAGCCTTCCCAATATTAACATGTAGGCTGATCTTATTAAAATCATTATAAATAACCACAACAGAGCAAGTCGTGCTCAGTAAAAATCTGGCTCATGAGGAGGCAAAAGAGATGATGGAGGTGCAGTGTGGCCCAGTGCAGGAAGGAAATGGCTCACAGATAGCTATACGGCTTATACTCCAAGCATGTCACAGTTCAGCAAAGGGGCTATAGAGAGGACTGATGTTAATATCTGCTGAAGACACTGCCCTGTGCATGGCTTTGTTTAAAAAAACCAGTGAAACCCTGCATATTTGTATATGTCTCAAATGTAGTTCTGTCCAAAAAATGTTGGTTTATGGTTGTTTTCACAATCATAAGAAATTGCTGTGTTTCTAAGACAATGATGCCAATTAGAATTAAAAAATAAGTTGAGTCAGTTCTGAAAATTTGCAGAAGAAATGGATAATGAGTGGACCTGGACCTGATTTTGTGAAACCCAAAGTATAGAAAGTTTAGTAATTCAACTGAAGAGAGATGACTCATATATGTTTTGTTATTCGATTGTGTGTGTGTGTGTGTGTGTGTGTGTGTCTTTAACACCAAGGACCTAAAGGTAGGTAGAATCCTATTGTCTTTCAACTTCACAGATGAGGTGATAATACCCCAATTAAACAAATACATATTAAATACCTAAAGATGGTTTTGGTCTTTCAGAGGTCAGCTTCAAAGGTGCTCAGAAAGCCTTCGCAACTTCAAGTAAAGAAGCAGTCATTTAACTAAAAAAAAGTATTTGCCTGTGCATCATTCAGAAGTTAATATTTTACCTCTCTGGGAAAATTTTCCTGGAAAATATAAGGTTGGATATGGTTCTGTTTGAGTCATATGGCCAGTATTCAAATACTGGTTTGAACAAATAATTTGGATTATAATTATTGTTATTGCTGTTAAGAAAAACGAGTTGTTAGTTTACTTATAACATATACATATTATGCCATCTACACTAATAAAAGACAAACATGCAAATTGACCGTACCTTCACTATGCTTTAAGCCACTCCCACCAGCCAATCAGAGCAACTATATGAAAATTAACCCAACCAAGATGGCGGCCGGCAGCTACGGAGCTGGAGCAAGCAGGAGGCTTGGTTGCCCCAATGATGGAGGAAGCCAAGCTTCGCGCCTGCCGTGGCCAGCTCTGAGCTCCACTCAAAGCAACAAAGTTTCAATTATAGAAGGTAAATAAACCCCAGATACCTGCTTTCAGCCAGCCATGGCCATGGAGCTGGAGTGAGCAGGAGGCTTCCCTCCCTCCCGCCTGCCCTGGCTGGCTCTGAGCTCCACTCAAAGCAACAAAGTTTCAATTATAGAAGGTAAATAAACCCCAGAATAAAAAAAAGAGAGAGAGAGAGAAAGGAGAGGCTGGGATCTTCTGTCACCAGCAGGCTTGGCCAGCCTGAAAATGGCCCTCATCCCCTCACCCAGGCTGGCCAAACCTACATGGGGTGAGGGTCCCCACTGGGGGGGGGGCTTGGCCAGCCTGCAAACAGCCATCAGCCCCTCACCTAGGCTGGCTAGGCACCCCAGTGGGGACCCCCCCTACTCTAAAGGGGGTGTGGCCAGCCTGAAAACAGCCATCAGCCCCTCACCTAGGCTGGCCAAACCTCCATGGGGTGAGGGTCCCCACTTGGGGGGGGGGGGTTGACCAGCCTGCAAACAGCCATCAGCCCCTCACCCAAGCTGGCCAGGCACCCAAGCAGGACCCCCACCCTGATCCGGCACACCCTTCAGAGCAAACCAGCCGGCCCCCACCCATGCACCAGGGCTATATCCTATATAATAAAAGGGTAATATGCAAACTGACCCTAACAGCAGAACAACTGGGAATGACTGGTCACTATGACACACACTGACCACCAGGGGCCAGACGCTCAATGCAGGAGCTGCCCCCTGCTGGTCAGTGCACTCCCACACGAGGAGCTCTGCTCAGCCATAAGCCAGGCTGATGGCTGCCAGTACAGTGGTGGTGGTGGGAGCCTCTCCTGCCTCCTCAGCAGCGCTAAGGATGTCTGACTGCAGCTTAGGCCTGCTCCCCGCTGGCAAGTGGACATCCCCCAAGGGCTCCCGGGCTGCCAGAGGTATGTCTGATTGCTAGCTTAGGGGGAGCGGGCCTAAGCCAGCAGGTGGTCATCCCCCGAGGGGTCCAGACTGCAAAAGGGTACAGGCCAGCTGAGGGACCCCCCCCCCCCCCCAGTGCACAAATTTTTGTGCACCAGGTCCCTAGTATATTAATAAAAAGCTGCCTTTTGAAAATAGTGAGAAACTTCAACAGAACTTATCTAAAGCCCTCCCATTTTAGATGTTTGGTAGTGTCAATCTGTTAGGATAAATTACTATTAGCCAAATCTTAATTAGGATAGGGATTACTTCTCTAACAATTAAACAAGCTAACTTACATTTTTGGATGGACTCAAAACAAAATGTGTTATCAAAAGTGATAGCATCATGTCATATCATTGTTATCTGGGTATAGGACAGTCTGTAGTAGTATTCTTACCTTTGTACAAAGCTGCAGTGCAATTTTACTTTTGAGCCCTCCCAAAGATAAGGCAGAGGAGTACAGTCAAGGAAAAGAGTATAATGACACAGCTTAAAAGATGACTATGCTGTCTGGCCAGCCTGGCTCAGTGGTTGAGTGTCGACCTATGAGCCAGGAGGTCATGGTTTGATTCCTGGTCAGAACACATTCCCAGGTTACAGCTTGATCCCCACTGGAGGATGTGCAGGAAACAGCCAATCAACGATTCTCCCACATCACCGATGTTTCTATCTCTCTGTCCCTCTCCCTTCCTCTCTGAAATCAACAAAAATATATATATTTTTAAAAATATGGCTATTCAGTTGCTGTGTGAGGGCTCTATATGAGGAAAAATGTAAAGAATGATGCTCTTCAGTTGAGAAAGGCGATCTGATCAGAGATAGACAATCATAGACTGTAGAATTGAATGGGACTTTAGAGTTACTTAGTCCAAACTTGTATTTTACATTTAAGGAGACTGAGACATGGACAGGCTGGATCATGGCAGTGTGGTAACTGGAACAAAGGTCTCTTGCTTTGGGTCCTATGACTCTTTCCATTACATTGTATTGCTTTTCACAAACAGGATGAAACAACTGGGAAGATAACTTCACAATAATTCAAGTAAAAATATAAACTCATTAATGGCCTAAGTAGGATTTCCAAATTCACCCAACTGGCCTATACCTTAAGGTTCAGGAAAAAGGTAAGTATGAATAGGTTTTCATCACCCATCAATTCCTTCTCAGGCATAATAAGCAGAGAAAATGCCTAAATTCTCTGGAGTCACAAAGCAAGAGTTGACAGACATCATGGCCAAGGCATCATCTTGGTCTTTCATGACACCTAAGTCAAGTAGCCTGGAAGCCTCATGGGGGTCCATGTTTGGAACCTCGCTCAGTGCTCCAGAGTCTGAAGAGAAAATGTTCGAGTAGTGCCAAGTTTATTAGAGTGAGAGAGAATCCCCCTCACATCGCCACCAGTAGATCCCAGAGTTGCATGCACTACCTCATACCGACAATCATGGAAAATCGTTATAGTTGGAGGATACCTTAGAGGTCACCAGGTTGACCCTCCCAGCTGACATGTTAATCCCTCTTAAACATCTCCCTTCAGTGGACTGTGGTCAGATTCTGTTTACCACAGCCACGATGGACACTCTGGCCAGCTCTGACTCTGCACTCTGGAAGAGAATGTTTAAGTACTATATGGTAGAAGAAGGATAGTTCCTTGGTGTAGGCCCCACTGGATCCTCTTCCTATGAGAACAAGTTTCCAGAGTCCGGCGCAAAGTCCCTCAAAATCCCCAACCAAGCACAAAGCACAAAAAAGGAGGCGGGGAGTGGGGGGGTGGGAGGTGGGGTCTAGCGATTGGTAATTGGATTTTGTTCTTGGGCTCTCAGAAGGTCTAGTTCTTGGTCCACAGAAGGCCTCTGTTGCAGGGTTGTAGGGCCAGCCCTCTCCAAGAACAACTTGTCCTTAAGCTCAGGGGAGTCCTTCCAGAGAATAGCTAGGTCTGTTGTTCTACCAGCTGTAGTTTGGCCGTCTTGACTCGCTGGGCTTCCTTCAGGTTCCGTGCACGAACCTCTGGGTTGGAAATGAACTCCACCTGATGCACAGGAAACCAGCCTCGCTCCCCATCTGAGAGTCTCATGCCCTCCAGCCAGCCTATGGGTACAAGATGGGTGGGAAGAAAAATTATCTGGAGAACACAATCATTTCCCCTGAACCACCTTTCCAAACACATTCCTGAATTTTAAGGCTGAATGGACGGGCGAGCCCCCAGAGCATGGGACAGCCAGTGCACTCACCCTGGCTGCTCTAGGTCTGACCTAGTCTATAGCTGCCTACTCCTTAGTGTTCTTTCTCTACTCTCATGAGTTGAATTGTGTTCCCCCAAAGTATATGTTGAAGTCCTAATCCCAAGTACTTCAGAATGAGACTTCATTTGGAATAGGGTTGATGCAGATGTGATTAGTAAAGTTAAGATGATGTAATACTTGAGTAATGTGGCCATTAATCCAATGTACCTGGTATCCTTCAATAGAGAAATTTGGACACACACGCACACACATAGAAGGAAGACAGAGGTAGAGATTGGATACACTGCCACAAGCCAAGCAATACCTAGAGCTACATAAGCTGGGAGAGGCAAGACAGGACCCCCCTACCCCCCCACCCCCACCCCCAGAGCCTGTATAGAAGGAGTATGGCTCTGCCAACACTTTGATTTTGGACTTAGGGCCTCCAAAACCACAAGAGAATACATGTCCATTGTTTTACGCCACCCAATTTGTGGTACTTTGTTATAGAAGCCCTAAGAAGAGAATACTTCCATCCAACTCCAATGCCAGCCTACTGCTCGTGGACTCCCCTTCTTACCATCACTGCTTTGTTGAGTCACCATCACCACGTCTGCTTTCTCCAAAGCCAACTCATCATTCTCTCGAGGTTTGTAGGCTCGAAGGCACTGCACTTGTGGGGAATCTGGAAGAGAAGAGTGTGAAGGGAAGTTAGGAAAGGCAAGTAACTGGAACATGGAGAAGGAATTGCAGGGGGAGGCTGAGAGGACTTGAGATCGAGAAAGTCTGCGTTTTTGAAAGTTACAGACAAAAGAGACAATTGGAAAAGTCTTCATCTTCTACCAGGAACGAAATGGCTGACAAGGAAATACAAATACCAGAATTCAAATAAATCAAAAATTCTATTTCGGTGGGGAAGATGAATTGAGAAATACATTGGAAACAACTTTAGTGACTCATTATTACAAATTCTCCAGATCCATCTTCACTCTGAAAGCTTTCCTGACTCTTTAGTCCTCAGGGGATACTGAACTTCAAAACTGCTTATGTAGGCCAGACCATTTATCCTATACCTAATTATTTTATGTATGTGTTCTGGGTCTGCAACTAGATTGTAAAACCTGAGTCTGGGACTCATTCTTTATTTTCTTCATGCTACTCAACATGGGTCTAGAAGAGACTTAACCAGTGGGGCTCAAGATCTAAGAAGGCACCGAATCCCCTTCAGCTTCAGTTTCCTCCCAGGTACATGGCTAGGATGATCAAGAAGATTCTTGAGAAAATTCTGGAATCGGGAAATTCCTACAGTTTTGAAGCTCAAGGTTAACAAGCCTCAGAGTATTCTTGACCCACAAGCATTCCATTATCTATGGGTTTATTGCTCTTTCTACTTTTCTGGCTGTACTAGTGCCCTCAGAAAACAAACAGAACACCACCTAATTATCTGCACTTCATCTAAAGTCATCCTCTTTGCCATTCACAGGGTCACAGTGAAGGAGGAAGAGTTATCTTGCCTCTCTTACCAACCCTATAGAACTGAAGCCCAGCAGATGATCACACAGTGAGCAAGTAAACAGAACTCAGTTTACAACCGGGCTCTCCTACTTCCTTTTCCAGATTCCCTTGTATTTGTTTGTTCTTTTGTTTGAGTCACCAAAGGTTCTGTCTTCCTAGAAGTTCAGCTCCTTTTGGATACGGATTAGGGAGTCCTTGCTGGAGGACTACTATGGAGCTTATAGACGACCCATAACTTCAGCCTTGGCGTGAATGCAAACATTCATAATGTGTGTGTGTCTGTGGCTACCAGTGAGTGCCCGGAAGCCTGGGGTAAGAGCAGTGGTTTCGTCATCCTCTACAGGAGCAGGGTGTGCTTAAGACAAAACTACTGTTTGGATATTTTCCCGTAACTCCCACTCCAGCCCTACTCTCTCCATTTCCCTGAGACCTTCAAGCAGATAACATCCAGCCCCGCTCCCACCTAAAAAAAGACAGGATAGACTTAAGGGGCCAAATATTTTAAAAGAGCAAACTACTGCCCCAAATAGGGATTGCATGGGGTTTGCAGCATTGCCATGGTGGTGGGAAGTTTTAAGCAGATACATCTCAGGTGTTTAACCTCCAGTGGGCGGCTTCTACCATGAAATTCTGGACAAAAGCAATAAATGGAAGCCTCCCCAAGTTACCATCCAGCCCTCTAAACTCCTGCCTCTAGAGGAGACTTCTGACCCTGCCATTTTTCTCTCCCTCACTTACCATAACACTCCAGAAGGTCCAACTCCTCTCTTGGCATGGCCAAGGCAGAGATCCATCGAAGCTTTTCACTTCTGCGAAAACAAAGGAGGGTCATTGTTCCAGCTGCAGCTCTGGGGTGTGGGACAAGGAAGGAGATGGGGAACGGACATGACTGTGGGAAGACTGTCTAATTCAGTGGTATTTAGGGAAAGTCAATGGGATTCTTCTTGGCAGGAAATATGACAGGATCTTGAACTGTATGTTAATGTCTTGCCCTCCTTTATGTTTCCCCTTCTCTTTCCAAGTTTATCCTGTCAGTGGCATCTCGTATCTTTCAAGTGGGGGCATAAAGTCAAATGTCAGTTATAAACAGGTGGATTTTCCATTATGGAAATTGTACTAAGCAAAATGTTCATCTCAGTGTAGATCCCCTTGATCACTTTGCATAATTCTTGACACTCCTCTGCCCACCTCCCTTCTATTAAATGTCTCAGAGATGAAAATCATCCTATGATTATAATTAGATCAGGGAGATGTATCTCCTAATTTTTCTTATGTAATGTTCATCCTAGCCTAATTCTGTGATTATCTAAAGGTTTTTGCATTATCTTAGCCTTGGCTTCCAAACACGCCAGAGTAATCGAGAGCTGGCACTGTTACTGTTCCAGAAAGATGCTACCCAAGCTGCCAAGTAAAGGACACGGGGCCATGTCTGTACTCAGTGCAGGTGACACTGTGCACGCAGACGCCGGCACCGGGCTCTCTGTTCCACAAGTGAACACAGCACTAGTGATCCCACCCTGAAATGTCCTCCAAGGGACAAAACTGAAAAGTGTCTGAAACATGAAGATCCGACTATTAGGTAACATGTCAAACTTTTTAAAGGAAACATTTCATATGTCTTTTATATCATCAATAATAGGTATAGTTTTGTAGCTGTTCATTATTGTTGGCACAGTGTACCAGATTTTCTAGGTATTATTTTTAATATTCTCCAAAATGTTATGTATGTATAAATGTATTTTTATTATTATTTAAAAGATGAGCGAATCGAAGTTCTCAACACTATGGATTTTTGCTCAACATAGGACTGGGTTGGAAGGTGGGAGCAAGGAAAGCCAATGGCACCTCACATATGCACCAGCCTTGGGCACTGAGGAATTTCTGGCTTGCACACATGGGCATTCACTGGTGATGTCAGTAATCCAACTCTTTAGTAACTCCATACTGTCCATCTCTTTTTGGCATCTCACAGACTTTGTCATTCCAGGTTAAAGGGAATACAATAGATACTAAGCCTTGGTGGCGAAGATATACCCTCACCCACCCCAATGTCCTGTAGGCGTCTATTAGCTCCAGAAATTTGGGTTTCTCTGTGGATGCTCCCCAGTCCAGCAAGGACTATATAGTGCCGTGGCTATTTTCTGGACACACTTCCTGCCTTGGTCCCATTTCTTTCCTGGGCTTCCAGGTCTCCCTCCCCCCAGCTCCTCTGCACAGCCCCATCTCACTGAGTCTCCGTGCTGAAGAGGAACTCGGCCTGGGTGCCCTGCGTGTTGTGCAGCAGGAAGAGTCGGAAGAGGTTTTTGTGAGGTCCATGTAGCTTCATTTCACACTTTTCTCCCCGAATAGAGGAGAAGGGAGCATGGTCAAACACCAGGAATCGGCCACCCCTGCAAAATACAAGGCTTTTCAACCAGATTCTAGAGTTGTCATACTTTATCCACCCCCAGAACTTAGGATCCCAAATCCTTGTCCTTAGCATATGTAGCCTGCAAATTCTCATAAAAACCATACGATGCTGCTTACTCTCAAGATGGTAGATCCAGCATCCCCAGGTATGTGTCACTAGCTTGGCAAACCACATATCTAATATCATGGATACTTCACCACTTTAAAGAGTTGCAGAGACAGACCAATATAAATTTTCTAAGACCCTGCGGATCTGGAATTAGCTAAGTATCTTTGGGCTAGTAGGCTCAGCCTAGTCCAAAGAAGCCACAAACTAACCGATTGGGAAAGTGATAACTAATTTGTTGCATTTTGTTCTGTGTCTATAATATGGTACAGGTCTTGCCATGTGATCTTGTGGCATATTTGGTGGGATCCCCTTTTTTGCTTTGGATCTTTCTCTTTCTTCTCTATACCATGACCTGACATCCACTGAGAAGGGTTCCTCTAGGATTCCTCTAGGGTTCCTCTCTGTCCCTTTCTGTCCTCCCCTCTTGCCTCTCCCATTTTCCTCTTGTGCTCTGTCCTCCCATTCCAATCACTGACTCTCGGGGCCGAGACAGCAACAGACAGTCATTGAAGAGATGCAGGTGGACTGGACGTGTGTTCAGTTTCCTTCGCAGCCCTGGAGAGACACTGGACTCCAGGGCAGCCAGCTCGCCACTCTTCACCAGCCAGCGTGACTGTGAAATGAGCGGGAATATCTGTAGGGTAGAGGAGGGCAGAGAAGGCAGTGTCTCAGATCGGACAAGCACAAGGCCCACCTCACTATGCCCCTTTCTCATGAGGTCCACTGACAATCATCTCTTCCACATCTTCCCTCTTGCTCATACCCACCCCTTAGACTTTGCTTCCCTGTGAACCCTCCAACCATCATGTAATGGTACAGCACCCATGTCCACAACTCAGGCAATGGAAGGTACCTGTGGTCTAACACCAAATAGTGACCATGTGAGAAAGCTTGGCCCTAGAAACCTGAACTGAAGAAGGCATGGAAAAGCCCAATTAGGGCATTTAGTGGAAGAAAGCAGGGAACACTATGTATGTGTCTTAGAAGTTAAAAGATTTGGACAGTTCTGATATCTGTTCTTTCTTTTATTATAACCAGAGACATGAGAGGAGTAGGTGGGATCCGAAGTGGGAATGGGATTAAGGAGAACAAGGTAGAATCTGCTTGGAGCTGGAATTTGGGTAAAGATAAGGGTAGAAACTAAGATAGATATGGGGATCAGAAGTATGCCCTCTCTCAGGGAAATAAGAATGGCATCTGCTCTGAGTTGGAATTTAAATGTGGAATGTCTATTGTAGATTTGCATTTGGATGGGAGACTTGGCCATAGATTTGGATTCAATTTTTTATTGGTTGGGCTACACTAGATTGAGATAAAATATTGGTTGGTTGAAGAACCAAAAATATCTATATCTATAATAATAAAAGTGTAATATGCTAATTAGACTGGATGCCCTTCGAACAAAGCCAGGGTTGCAAGGGAAGCCCGGGTCCTGGGTGTCAGAGGGAAGCCGGTGCCAGCAGCCGAGGAAAGGAAGGCCTACACTTGCATGAATTTCATGCATCGAGCCTCTAGTATATATATATTAAAGCCTAAGCAACTGTTCGACCGTTTGACTGGTAGCTATGACACGCACTGACCACCAGGGGCCAGACGCTCAACGCATAGGCATGAAAACATGGAACAGACTGATGAACCTCAGAGGGAAGAGGGAAGGGGGGAGGATGGGAAGAGATTAACCAAAGATCTTATATGCATACTAGAGGCCCAGTGCACAGATTCATGCACCAGTGGGGTTTCTTGGCCTGGCCTGCGGGGATTGGGCCAAAACCAGCAGTCCGACATCCCCCGAGGGGTCCCAGATTGCAAGAGGGCACAGGCCAGGTTGAAGGACCCCCACCGATGCACGAATCCGTGCACTGGGCCTCTCATATCTTTATAAAGACTTGAATTGATAAGTTTTCTTTCATCTGCCCAGTTCCCAGGTGTACACTATGCCCCTCAGGTAACTTCATTTCTTATGTCTCCTCCCAGACTTTCTTTACAAGCAAATGCATGTACAGATTTGCACCCTCCTACTTTTCCATCAAAGGTAATACACACAGTTCTTCTGTATCTCTCCCCTTTTCCACTTAGTGGGGTATCATGGAGAATAAAGTAGGCATTTGGGCACCCAGAAATAGGACAGAACAGAGGCATGCAGACTGAGGTTAGAGACTGGCATGGTGAGAGCCAGAGGGCTCTGTGTTAGCAGGTGACTGCTGACATGCCGAAGATTCACTCACCTTGCATTCAAACTCAATCTTCTGGCTCAGGTAGATGAGCTCCTCCGTCCGGCGCATTCTCTGGACGTTGTTATTGCAGTCTCGGATCAGCTGCCAGGAGAGCAGGGTGAGGAAAGAGGAAGGGCACTGTGTTAGAGGTTTGACCTTTGAGGCCCTGAAAGAAATCTGGAAATCAGTACTTGTGACAGCTTTTCCACCAGGCTTGACCTGCATGAAGGTGGTATCTAGGAAACGTTTCAGGACTCTTGGTGTACTTGCTATGACAGGGTCAACATTCCTGGGCTGAGTGAAAGCAAGATGGAATTTGGAGAGTGCCTGCAGTGTCCTCATGGTGGGAGGAGGCTGTGGGTGTGGAGGGAGGTTTGGTGGGTGCAGGAGGTACCTGGGTAATCCCATCAGCAGTGGCCATGGACCTGGGCAGGGGAAGACTTCTCCATGAGGGGAACTGTGGGCCACCTACCTCCTCCAGAGCATGGTGCGCCTTCGTGGCCTCTGCTTCCTCTGAGGAGCCAGGCTGTGTTCTCTTCAGAATGTTCTATAGAACAAACAGCAGCCAGATGGAAGGGGTGGTAAACAGGAAGAGATGATGGGGGTGGGCCATTGGGAGAGGTCCAGGAACAAAATTTTAGTAGCAAATTAACCCTGAGAAAGAAGGGTGTGGGTGGTGGGGAGACTGCGCACTTTGTCCACAGGGTGCAGGACAGTGCAGAAGGGCCAGTCCTGTGTTGTGGGGCTTCCTGAAATCACCCTTTTGAGTTGAGGGGAGAATCCCAGGTGGGGTCTGTACCTGGAGCAGCAGTTTGAGACGGGTGATGCGCTGGAATGGCAGGATCAGAAAGGACTTGAGGGACAGGCGCTGGCAGACAGGGTCGCTCTCCAGCCTCTCTAGGACCTCGCGGAAGCTGCTGTTGGTGCTCCTGTCAGACAGCAAGTGGGTAAGGAGGGTGGGGAATAGTGGGCCACAGGGAAGGCATGCGGAGTGGAGACACAGTGGAATGTTTGTGGGTCAGGGAAGGATGGTGAGATCCAATGACATGGAGCTGAGACCTAATGGTCCAGGGCCTGTGATCTGGAAGGCACTGGGGCTTGAGATCACAGAACGGGCACAGAATATGTGCTCAGGTGACAGCACTCTGGATCAGGGGTTGGAAGTTTGGATGCAAGGTCACTACCAGGCCCACACAGGGACTGAACGGGATTTGGGTCTCACAGCAGAGTTTGGAAGGTGCGTTCCTGGTAGGTCTGGTTGGTGACATATGGCAGGTAGACCCGGCGGAAGTGGGAGGCATGGTTCAGGACTACATCACACACGTGGAAGGTGAAGATGTTGTTCTCAAAGTTCTCCTCCAAGTCTGAAAGGAACCTGCGCAATATTCAAACAAGTCTCATGAGACCTGTGGGTCTCAAGTGAGCAGCTGGCTGAGCCCTGCTCTACCTGATCTGTGACATCTCTCAGTTAGTGAATAACTTCTGTCCTTTGCTCTGTGCCCCTTGCTCTGCACTTATGTTCTCTCCGAGGCTGCTCCTAGTTTTCCCATGATCTAACGCTTTGGTCCTAATATTCCATTTCTTGTTCTTTTCTGGAATATGTTCTGGTTTTCTAACCTTTAGATGCTTCCCAAATCTCATCTTCAATGCACTGCATACCCACAGTACATCCAAAACTCAACCCAGGAGGCATCTCATTAATTTGTTCATCCACCAATGGCTCTATCCATCCAGGACCCTCTCCTCTACTATTTCCTCCGTTCCCTACAGCCATTGGGAATCTCAGAGGGAGCAGTGAGAGGGTTTCCGAGAAGGAAAAAGATACCTACTGAAGGTTTATAGGCTAAAGACAGTGAGGTGGAGTGAGTAGCATTTGGGAGAAGAGGTGTCTTACGTGGCACTGACATCACGCACGTCCTGTAGACGAGAGAAGAGCCACTGCTGGTCTTGGTTGGAAAGGATGGCCCGGAGCTGGGGTGAATGCTGGAAGTGATCCACAGCTATGTTCAGGCTGCGCAGGTAGGAAGCCTCTGACACAATCAGCTCAAATTTGGCCTAGGAGTTGGGGAGGAGGAAGATTAATGTACAACACATTTTGAGTCCCTGGTGTATGTTTTAGGAGTAGAGTGGTGAACAAGACAGATCCATCTGTAACTCACCGTCACAGTGAAACCTAACCTGGTATCAGGGAGAGGGAAGGTGCATTGAAGCCAAGGGGAGAACATGTGCAGACCCCAGAGGTGTAATAGAGAAAGATGCTTTCCGGAAACTTACACTGAACATTTGCAGAACCATGTACTAAAGTAGGGGCAGGAGAGGAAGCCAGAGAGGCAAACATGGCAGTCTGGAGAGTTAAGTGAACAAGGCAAAGGAGTTTGGTGGGCTTCATACCACAGAAAAACAAAAAGAGGCTCTATGTAGGGGAATAACTTGGCCATCAATGTGTTTCTAAGCACAGTGTAGAGAAAAGATTAGAAGGGGCAAGAGAGCCATGTTAGGAACCTGCCGTATTAAGTCCAGGTGAGAGATGAAGGCCTAAATAGCCGTGGGAATGGGAAGGGGCCAGTTTCATGACTATTCAGGAGGGACACGGGGAAGGACCTAGTTATTTGCTAGAAATGGACTCTAAAAGAGCAGGAAGAGTGCCAGCTAATGCCTCAGTTTTTGAGTTGGGTAACTGGGAGAATGAGCCAGAGAACTCAGAGATTCATTTGTTTTTGTGTCTTGGCCCTGACACTCTATGTGGCTTTGGGTGGCTCATTTGATCTCTCTGAAGCTGTTTTCTTGCCTTTGGGGCAGGGACAGTGACCCAACCTCACAAACATGTGACAGTCAAAAGAAATGGAGTCAGTGAAAGCATCTTACAGACCCTAGAAGTGCTATTTTATGAAAGAAATATGTGCTTATAAGCGCAGAGGCCTGTCTTCTCAGAAATGTGAGACCGGCTGGCCCGGGAGCCACGTGGACCTGTGAGGATGCTGGAGATGCTGAAAGGGACCTGGGTTCGAATCAGCTCCCAGGGTCTGGTTCACAAACACGGGGAAGAGAAGAAGTGGTTTTCTAAATATCCTCCAGGTGCTTTGGAAGTTGAGGTCAGAACAGGGTCCCCCAAGTCTGAGCTTCAAAAATCCTAAAATTTATATTTGTCTGTCTGACTTGGTAAAAGCATCGTTTATCCGTAAGTCCTTCTGGCCCAAATGTTTCTCCTTCCCACTTCTGAAAGGGGTGAGTATGCCACCAATGCATATCAAACAATGTGCCACACACTCTGTTTAAAGCTAGATACGTGTCATTTCACTTAAACCATGTAGCAACCCTGAAAGGTAGGTATTCATTATCTTCAATTTTTAGATGAGGAAACTGGGACTGAGCAGTTATATAATTGCCTGAGGTGACACAGCTAGTAAATGGCAAGGCAAGGCTTTAAACCTGGGTTGGCCTAACTCGAAATTAAAGTCATGAACATGCTTTGAATAATTACTATATATTAGAAACTTATCTTTTTTTTTTTTTTTAACTCTCCCAGTACCTCTTTGCAATGCAATTTTACAAATGAGGAAACAGAAGTTTAGAAAGAGCAAGTAATTAGGCCAGAGTTAAATAACTGGCAAACATTAAAGTGGGCTTCCAGGTCATTGACTCTGAAACCTTAATACTTAGACATTATTCCAGGAAACCTTTACGTTGTACTATTTTATCTTCCTGGGAAGAAAAGTTTATCCCAGGCTGGTTATCAGCAAAGCTCTCCAGATAAAACCCATTCATGGTAACGACATCAGACACACAGCCTCTACTACAGTCTTGCTTTGGGGCTAAGGACCAAGCAGAGACTGATGGTCATTCAAAAGCCTCTATGAGTCCAATGGACCACAGGTCAGGCACAAGGGCACTCAGTCTTCAAGGGATACAACAGAAAGCCCCTGGTGTGCCTTGGTTGAAGTAGCAATCTTTAGCGGAGCCTGAAACCATGGTTCAAGATGGAAATTTCTGTCTAGCCTGAAGCACTAGTGATGGGATTAATTCTACGTCTGGCCACTTTGTATGAGTCTGAACCAACACCAGGTAGCAGTAAATGGCCATGGCAGAAGGAGGTGGACAGGCAGGCGGGTGATGATCTTCAGAGAGCAATTGAAGTCCGTTGGAGTGGAGATGGCTGACAGCTTGGGATGCACGAGTGCGTGGTGATGGTGGAGGTGGTGGTGGTGGTGGTACTGATGAGGAGATAGGATGTGAGCCTCCCCTCCTGCATCCCTCTCTCTTGCCCCCACCCTGCTCTGTTGGGTACCTCTTGCAGTTTTTGGTCCTCATGGGTCATGGAGAGCAGCACAGTGCTATTGCGCACCACAGGGATCTCCTGCCAGAGGGAGCTCCTGGAGGCCATGGAGAGGCGCTGCAGGTAAGACTCTGAGGACACCAGGGCCTTTCGGGGCTGCCGGGGGGAGGCGGGCCCAGAGGCCTCTGCCAAGCTGTCCAGCCGCTGCTGGCTCTGAATCTCCTTGTTCAGAACCACATCGCTGTACTCCTGGTAAAGCAGCTGGGCTGTGGGGCAAAGCAGTGTGGGAGAGGGAGAGAATTAGGGAGACAGGGGAATTAGGCACAGAGACAGACAGAAGCCACCAGACTTCTGGCTCTCCTGGCAGTTTTCTCTTCCTGTAGGTGTCCCCAACCCCTGCTGGCAGCCATAAGCCCCTCCCCAGTCTTGGGCACAACACCTATGTGCATCCATAGTTCTGTTTCAATATACTCACAGGAGTTGATGAGCTTTGAGCAGCGTCTTGAAAAGCCTCCCATCACCTCCTTTGGCTTTTTCTCCCTGTGGAGCAAAGAAGGGCTCTGGGGTGCTTGCTGGCCCTTAGATACCGAGGAGCCCCAGGAAACTGTAGATGGGATAGTCTCTAACCTCTGGGACGTATGCTGGGATGTCAGGGCCAAGTCCCCTGACCCATTTTGGGGTAGTTTGGAGCTTTCTTGGATGTCATGTTGAATTTTTACAGGGGGTTTAGTTCATAGCTAAAGGGCCTAGGAGGATAGAAAATTAAGATTTAGGTAACAAAACCAGGTAGATCAAAGGATACCAGGCTCCCTACCCTGGTATCCTGGTGTCTGTCTCTTCCTCTCCTTCCCTCTGGAAGAGACAGGGTCACAGAACCCATGTCAACTAACAGAAATCTCAGTATGCTAAGAAAAGAGAGTACAAGTGTGCTGGTTGGGAGGGATGACTCACCGAAAAATAATGGAGTCTGAAGGGCCAGGGGGCTTTTCCGTGGCCTGGCCTCTTGTATCTGTAAAGGGAAATGGATGAAGTAACTGAAGTTTCAAAGGAACATTCAGAGATAGCTGAAGAAAGTAAGACATAGAGAGATGTAGGCACCCGGGGAGGGGAAAAAAGGCTGATCTGGGAATCTGTGAGGGAAGTGCCAAAGCAGAAAGCATCTGATGACACGACTGGGAGGTATGAACACATCCCTCATGTCAGAACGTAGATTGGACAAGGAGATGATGTCTTCTCTACTATGAGGAGGACATCAAGAGGTGCTGGTAACTGGAAAGTGGGGTGTGTTTGGGGGTAGGGAAGAGTGTCCACAAAAACCTTAGGAAATGTGACACACAATGAAAACACCATGGTTGGGTGACAAACAGAGATGCAGGGAAGGAGAAGGAAGAGCATCACAGTGAGCTTCCAAGGACTTCCCTCTATGTTGGGGTTGGATATGTGGGTGAGTGAAGCAGTAGGGGGAATAGGAAGAGCCCTGGGACAGAAGATGGATGAAGTGGTAAGAGCTACAGAAAGCTTGGTCTGATGAGTGCTCCTTGCTCACCTGAAGAGCCCTCAGGTAAGATGGAAGGTCTGCGCAGGCCTTGCCGATGCCAGCCCTTGTGCTTACTGGAGCCCTCACCAGAGATGGCAGCCTGTTCACCACTGCCCTGTGGTGGTCTCCCTGAGTCCCGCCTGTGGGGCCAGCTGGATGCCTTCTCCAGGTGGGGATGGCTGGGTTTTTCAGGCTGCCTTGTTCGACCTATATCTGACCTCCTCAGGCTACTGGCTCCTTCCTGAGGGTCTGTTCTTCTTAAAGATCCTTTGGCAGGGGCCTCTGACTCTTCTGAGAGCCCTGGTTCAGAGGTGGGTTCCTGGAGACCCATAGTCCAGGGGGTGGCTGGGGAAGAGGGACTCGGAAGGTTCGTCATGTTGCTGAAAGCTATGTCAGGGGATACTTCACTCTTTCTCCTACTGGTGGAAGCCAAAGAGTCTGTTGATCTGCCCATGGCTGGGGGCCAGGAAGTACGTCCTCCAGAGTGGGGACTGGAGACTGCCCACTCTTGACCAACAGGCCTGGGCTTGGCTTGACCCCCTGAATTCATGAGTGCTCCCTGAAGGCTCTTGTTCCTCCCTCTGGCCTTCGGGGGTAATGGTGGTGGTTCGGTGAGGGGATTTATGACAGGGACAGGGGGTAGAGGCCTGTAGATCCTTGGACTATTATGAGAAACGGGAGAATGGTGGGGCTGAAACAAATCAGGAGTTGGGGGTAATGGCTTGTTGTATCTCAGCCTTGGGGAGGAAGAAGTCCGACTATGGTGGGAATCATCTGGGGTAGAGGGCAGAGGTCGGTACTGCCTTGCCACATGGGGGTCAGGAATTTCAGGAAGTGGAACTTTGGGGGGGCCACACAGCCCTGAACTTAGGGCCAATGGAGGGTAGCTACAGTGCCTCAGTGTGGGGACTGCTGCACTGGGATGGCCGTCTCTCTCCCCCGTGGAGGCATGGACGTGCCTCTTCTTTGGAGGAGCAGGAGGTGGAGGTTCATGCAGCCTGGTATCTATGAAGACAGGTGAAGAGCCATATATAGGAGACCCTGGGGTAAAAGCTGAATTATGTGGGGAGTCCCATGGCTGGCTGCTGTGGGGACTGCTGGGCCTGTGTGGATCAGAGGTAAAGTCTCCAGAGTCATGCCCCAGAGTGGACAATGAACTAGGGAATTCTGGAATAACGCTGCAGTCTCTACTGCTTCTCCTGTCCCTTCTTGGGTTCACAGAGCCATGGATGGCAGCTTTGGGAGGTCTCTGAGGCAACCCTGAATGAGAGAAGGAAAGTGATCGTCCCACCAGGTCCGGAGCCAGCTGTGTCCTGTGAGAGCCCGGGAAAGAGTTGCTCAATAGGTGCTGGATGGCCCCTGCGAAGTCAGCTAGGGGGCTCTGAGGAATGGCCCCATTGGAGCTTCCATGTGGGTCCACGGTAGCCTCTGAAGAGGGGGAGCCGGGGAGGGCCGTCAGGAGAGTCTCAGAAGCCCCACAGGCAGATGGGATGTCGGTGGAGAAAGAGGCTCTGATGGTTTCTGGAGAATATGCAGCCAGAGAGGCCTTTGTCCTGGGGATGGCAATTGGGGGGCTGGCAGCCAGCAAGGCGGCTCTGCTGGGGGAGACTTCAGCAAATGGGGAGGGAGCTGAATCTGGTGAGTTTGGAGAAGTCTCAGGTGCACCAGCAGAGGCCACGTGGGGCCTCCCACTGGATGCTGTCCCTGTCCCCAACTGGGAACCCTCTGGCTGGGGGTCCCGAGCTATTTCTTGAGCAGGTGGCCCCCCAGCAGGAGAGAAGCGAGGTGAAGGATTGGACTGACAGGAACATCCTATTGGCTCCAGGGTAGGAGTCTGAGCTATGGGACAAAGCTCCTCAGCCCTAAACTCTGTCTGAGAACCAGGAATCCTGGCATTACAAGCATCTGGGAACAAGTCACAGGGAGAATAAACCTTGGGGGCTAGTGGGGGAAGACCATCATGCTCTTCCCTCTCCTCTGCAATCCTCTCTCCTCCCACTCCCCCCAGTGTGGCCCCATCCCAATCTTCTGCCTCCTCTTCCTCCTCCTCTGGCATCAGTGCCCCTGGCAGATCTTGATGTTCTTGCCTTCCAGGTGCGTTCACTGACCTCCTGGCTAAGCTTTGATACTCCTGGTACTGAGCACCCATCCTACTCTCCTCAGGCCCCTTCAACTCCCTCTTCCTCTGTTCACCCACTTCCAGATCTTCCTGGCCCCGAGTCCTCCCCTCCCACTCATCACAATTCACACCTCCTGATTTCTCATTAGGCTCCTCCCTTTCTCCTTGTTTTGCAAGCACCATATCATCTTGCATCTGTCCCTGTTTTTGCCTCTGTCCTCCCTGTGTACCATTAACCTGCTCCCCCATCTGTTCCTGCTCCCCTAGAAGCCCCTCAGAACACACAGCCTCCCCCAGGACTTCCCCCTCTTCTTGTCCCTGCACCTCCAGCCCCTTGGCCTCCTGGGGACACAAAAGCCTTTCTTTCCCTTGACTTTCCTGCAGCTCCTCGCCCTGCCTGGCAGTCCCACTTTCAGAGTCCTGCAGGGAGTTGGTCTCTACAAGGTGCTCTTCACAGGAAGATGAACATCTGGCCCGAGCAGAGGCATCTGGAGAAGCTTCCTCTTTCTCTGCTGCTTGTCCAGTCCCCAACGTCAAAGAAGGGAATTCTGGTCCGAGTTCCACCTCCATTCTGCTGCGCAGTTCGCTGCATAGTGGGGCCATGTCCAGATGTTTACCCTGGACAGGGCAGGCCCAGTGCTCTGGAGGAGCTGGTGTCCTTGCCTGTCTGTCTGCCAGGCTCACGGGCACTGCCTCCTGGCACTCTGGGGTGTCCCAGGCCTCGGCCATAAGGTTTTCCTGCTTGGTCTCCAGATCCAAAGGGGCCTCCTTGGGGAAAGAGGTCATACTCTCAGTTGCACAGTCATTCATATCTCTTAAATCTCTCTGCTGGGTCTCCCAGAGTCTGCTTTCCTCTGCCCACGTATAGGATGGGTCCTGGCCTTCTTGAGCTTTGGGCCCCACGGCAGGGGGCTGGCTGCTTCTCACGAGAGCTTCAGGGATGACACTGAATTCTGCTACAGCAGGAATGGGAGCCGGTGCTCCACTCCGCGGCTCCGCAGCCTCCATCGGGGCTGAATCCTAAAGAGGCATAAAAGACAAAGTTTCTATCACCTCTTCGGCTTTTAACTATCAGAGGGGCAGACCATGAAGAACAAGAGTGGGACATTTCTTTGGTTCTCCATAGACTCATTCTTTGAGACAAAAGGTACACAACAAAATAAGCAATAGCCTCTATAAAACTTGTCACTTATTTGCCCATTTAATAAGTACTTAGCAAGTGACCCTTTCAAGTGGGGGATATTCGGTAGTGAAGGAGATAATGTCCTCAAGGAGCCTGCAGTCTTGTGGGAGAGACAGATAGGAAGTGATTGAATTAGACCCTCATTGTCAGAGTGCCAAGTTCCCCAATGGTCATTCCTCCTAGATAGTATTATGTCATATTGTCTCTCCCTGTCTACTCTCTGGACATCAAGAGTGACTCAGGCCTATGTAACTCCCAGACACTGAGCGACACACCCAAGGCCTAACAGCATGAGAAGCAGTGTTTCGGGGGACCTTCCTCCTCATCTGCTGATGGGGGTTAAAATAGGTCTGGTCATTATAACCTATGTCTAAGGCAAAGTGTAGTGTAACTGCCTTTATACTGGGTCTGGACTGTGCTCATCTCATTTTTCATAGTGTCGCACAGCCCTGTAACTAATTAACAATTTTGTTTTCAATTAGAAAGGCAGCTGTCATAAAGCAGAATGACTTGTTAGATTAGAACTGAAGGGATACCGAGGTTAACTGCTTCAAGTAGGTCCATAAAACTGTGTTACTCCATTATCTTACTCTTTCTCTCCAACAACCTTGTGAACTCTTCTCATTACTCATCAAAATCTTGACCTTCCCACCCCTGCTCTCACTTCAGCAAATTCTTTGCAAAATATTGAGAAACCAAAGGAAAGGAGAATATGGAGAAATCAAAGTTGCTCCAGTTTCTTGCAACTCAGAGAGACCTGCATTTTGCTCTCTCCATCTTTCCTCCTCCAACAGGGCAGGCGTCCCTCCTCTCAAAGCACCACCTTCTTCAGACTTCCTTCTCAGGGACCCTATGCTATGGGTGACCTTCCTCTCACCATCACCTCTGCTAGAATCATCCCACCAGCATTTAAGCATGTCCATGCCTTTCTCATTTTTCTAACCTGTAAAGGGAGTTGCTCATACCTGCTGTCTTCACAGCCTCGCATCTCGCCTGCGTCTCCTACAATCAAAGGAGACTCTATGAATGCTTATTTTGGAGGTTCTTGTCAGTATTTGACACTCCTGACATTAGAAATACTCTCTTTCTTGTTATCTGTGAGACTATAACTTACCGATTTAACCTCTTACATTTTCCCCAATCCTCTAACTACGTTACTGTGCTCCTCTTTGTAGCACTTATCAATTACAGTGCACTTTTCTTCTCTGTAGCATTTATACAATTATGATTATTATATAATTACTAGAGACCTGGTATTCATGCACCAGTAGGGTCCCTCAGCCTGGCCTGTGGGATCAGGCTGAAATCAGCTCTCTGACATCCCCCAAGTGGTCCCAGATTGCAAGAGGGTGCAGGCCAGGCTGAGGGACCCCACCGGTGCACAACGGGGCTGGGGAGGGACATGGGAGGCTGGGGAGGGACTGCGGGAAGGCTCCAGGGCATGTCTGGCCCATCTCGCTCAGTCCTGATCTGCCAGACCCCAGCAGCAAGCTAACATACCAGTCGTAGCGTTTGCCCCCTGGTGGTCAGTGCACGTCATAGCAACTGGTCGACAGTCTGCCCCCTGGTGGTCAGTGCATGTCATAGTGAGACGTTGAGCAACCTTAGCATATTATTAACATATTACACTTTGATTGGTTGAATGGCCGACCAGATGACCGAACACTTAGCATATTAGGCTTTTATTATATAGGATGTGTGTATTCTGATTTACCATCTATCTCAAACAATAGGTGGTAAATGTCCTGAGATAAAGAACTACATCTGTCCTGCTCAAATATCTATACATAGTTCTCTACCTGGCCTGTACTAAGTATTTAATAAATACCTTTTAATTACAGAATAAATTCTTGTTTCTCTCTTGGCCTACATTTCCCATATCTAATCTAGCTACCAAGTCCTATTAACCCCATCTCCTCAATATCCTTCAAGTCTGTCCTCTTCTCTCCAAATCCACTGCTAGACCCTACGCAGGCTACTGTCCTCTCTCACTCAGGCCACTGCACTTGGGGCAGAGCCTGGCCACTGGCCTCTACATAGCTTCTCTTGCCCTTTCCCAAGGCATTCTCTACCCAGCACTTGAGTGAGTCTCAAAAGCCCCACTTCTAGTTTAAATTCTTCAGTAGCCTCTAACTGCCAATAGGATGAAATACAAATATCCAGCATGGGTTATGTACCCTCCTTAACCTGGCCTTTGCCTACCTCTTCCCCCTCCTCAGCCCCCACCCCACTGGCCTTCAGTCCCTCTGGCTCACCTCCCTCTCTCCTGTAGGCCTTCAGTGCTGCTCCTCGGCCTAGAATCCTCTGCTCCTACCCCAGAGAAGCCTCTACTGTCCCACACTCACTGCACTTGGAGTTACATATTTAGTGTCTGTTCTCATAAGGGCACAAAAACTGCAATGTTAACTGCTTAGCCCTCTGCTTGAAGCTTAGTTGGCCCTCAACAAAGATTTATTGAGTGGATGAATGGAGGAAGGAAGAATGCAGAGGTGAAAGAGCGCTGTTCAGTTTCCAGTTCTGCCTTTTTGTTATCTTGCTAATTTTAAAGCAATTGTGAAAATCACTTAAACATCCATTTTCTTATCTTTATAAAAGGGAAAGATATTTTCTTTGCAAGGAATTGTAATGAAAGTTAAGTACGACAGTATAAAAAGTGCATTGTTAAATGTAAGGATCATAAAAATGTTAGGGATTGTAATTATGGTTGATGAGAGAGAATAAGTGTAAGAGAGAAATACAGGACTTATGAGCTGGAAGGACCTTCAGAGACAGACAGAAAACTGCTTAAGTTAAATGAGGAACCTGAAGGTCAGATAATCTAAACACTTGCTCACATAAGCAATTGGTACAGGTGAACTAACCAAGGTCTTCTGACAACTCAACTATAAGCAACTAGAAGTTCAGGTGTAAGAAAGCTGGAAGGTCACCAGCCTGGAGAGACCTCAGGGGCCTAGGGAATACACAGGTGCACCTGGACCTGCACCCTCCTTGTCTGGTCTGGGCTTAAAGTGGAAGCCCACCACCCAAATGCCCACTGTCCTGCTAAGGTATTGCACTTGTGCACATGCTTGCACAAGCACCCATCCACATGCACGTACCTGCATGTGCACACACACACACACACACACACACAAAATGAGCCACCCTTGCAGTTTCTACACAATAGAGACTGACATAACCAAACGAGCAGGTCCCTAAACACCCTACAGATGTGATAAGTATGTGACAAGTTCCAGGCCACCCCATAGACACAAATACCATCTATACAGGGCAAAGAGCCACCATGTCTAACATAAGCACACTTGTGTAGAAGGGTTTTTATATCCTTTTCCAGTTAATTGACACAGTGCAAGATTTCCTCCCTATGTCTAGCCCTAAGGACAAAATACTATAATCACTATGGATACTGTGATGTGACCCTATTCTCTCAACCACATGTTAAATAATATACTTGCTCAATGTAAGCACTTTATGAATCTTGGCTCCTACCTGCCCAAGGGGACAGTGTAACTAAATCTGTAGTCTCCCCTCACCCACAGCTGTATTGTCCTGGCCCTATACCCATACACACTGCCATGTCCTCAAAACAAACAGTCTCTAAAAATATGTGTGCTTCTGCTATATTTAGGCTACATCTGTATGCCCCATGGGCTACCTGGACATCTTCAGTTCCATACAAGTGACACAACGCACGTGTGCCTCCTGCAATCCCATTGACAGTATTTCTAACACAGTCTATCCATTTGGAAATATTGGTGGTCACCAGCTCAGACACCATTCCCTATACTTGATCCTGTCCTATTATAACCCTATTAGAATTAGGCACCACAAACCTACAACATGACAAAGCTCTAAGAAATCTGCAAAGCACATAAAGACATCAGGAGAGAGTTTTTGCACTGCCCATTGTTACAGTTGCCTCCTCACTCCCTTCTCTATGGGGACGAAGCTCAGTAACTGAGCACCGACAGATTGAGCATGGCACCTTCCAGACCAGACACATGTTGCATCTGCTGACCCCGTCCCACCTATGACTTCTTTCAAGACAAATCTGCAAGTCACCCCATTAACACAGTGTATGACAGAGCGCAGTATCTCCCTTGGATCCCACAAACATCTTAGCTCTTGTCCATTTCTAGTCTGAAGACATAACACTATTTCAAAGACAGCCACCTCACCGCCACCCACCTCCATCACACTGCTGCTTCTCCTTCGAACCCATGCTGCCTGCTATGTGTAGGTCTAAATATCTGCTTCCTGGATTTTCTAGCAATGGCAGTTTCAAATATTCTGATCCACACCAAAAATCACTAAAACACTTGAGATTGCAACACTTCTGCATTCATACTACATTGTCTATACTACTGCTTATCTTAGGAAAATACCCCCAAATCATTTTTTTTAATATAAAAACTGAGACTCCCACATAGATGGATGCCTTTATCAGTGTTTGACATTATTGTCCCCAATGCTACACATATATAAAAATTAGAGTAACAATCTGGACCACTAACTGCAAAGACCTGTGCTCTATCCACTTTAGAAAAGCCCCACCATCGCAGTGAAAACTATAATAACCGGCTCTTATCTATTCCTAATGTCTGAGAATGTCACAACCTCCACTGCCCTGCAGACCACACGGGCCCGCACAGAACATCAATGCTGACAGGCCCCACAAGCCCACTGTGGACACCCCCTGCCATCCAGACAGATTATGTGTGAGTGACTTCTTTGTGTCCTTAGCAGGGCCCCTGAGAGGTGACCTTGTTCTTGCCCACCTTACAGACACTATAAATGACCAGCTCCTGTTCACTTCACAGACACAGTGAGTGATTTACCCTGTCTACACCAGATGATGTAAGCTACCTGACATTGAGTAACACTGCTCTTGTTCAATCCATGGCCCTGTGAGTGGCCCATTCTTGTCCACACCAGTGACTGACCACTCCAGACACCACAAATGACATCTTCTTGTCTATCCCAAAGACACCATGCTTGATGTGGCCACAGACAACCTCAGACAGACCACACTGTGGTCAGCCATATACTCTTGGGACCCCTAGGACATGAAGACTCTTGACTATGTTTTGAATCACTGTTTTCTTTTGGTAAGAAGGATACCTTTGCACACCTCCTGACCTCTCTCTTCCCTACCATGATAATGACATACATTCCTCCTGCCAGACAGTCTCACTCAAAATTGACACCTACGTCCTTCCTCCTCCCAGCCCCACCCCCCAAGAATCCCCTCAGTAGACATGGCTTCAGTTTCAGGCCCACAGACTGGTTAACAAATTATTCCCATTTTGCTAGGATCTAGGCCAGTCTCTTCTTTCACTCTGGTGTAGCTAAAACAGGAAGTCTGAGAGAAAGGCCACATCAGGAGCTGTTGAGCTAAGAGCTGTTGAGCTAGGAGCTGGGATTTCTGGAGTAGGCCAAGGATGCAGGGCCTTAGAATGACATGGGGGAAGCAAAAGAGGGAAGGAGCTAGAAAAGAAAGCCACCCTCTCTCCCTTGTCTGTCTGACACACCCCTCTCCCTCAATCTGACAAGACTCCTGGCCAGAGTTCACTTTGGTAGACAGAAGGGCAAACCTGTCTTGGGAATCCAAGATCCAGGAAGGGGAGAAGGGACTGACATCTGAGCTAGCTCAGGACTAGCTGAACTGGCATCAGGACTAGCTCTCTGAGGACAGTCTTGCTGAAGGCAATTTTAAATGATGCTCAGAAGGAGAGCCCCAAGCCCAACTATAAACAGCTCCCTTCCCATCTCCCCAAGTTGAGAATACAAATTGTGCTTGACAGGAAACTTTGGAGAGACTCCCCAGATATGGGGAACCAGAGAAGGGGGCCAGGGCAGGAATCATTTTTACAGGTGAAAGTACCTTGGCTAGCAAGGGAAAGGTAAATATGGAGACATACACAGTGTGCAAATCCATAGGAAGGTGAGTAAGGAAGGCCCAGGCCTAGTTAAGAAAAAGGAGATAATAAGACATCCACAGGTGGGGAAAACGTTCCACAGCCGAGTCTCAGTAATCCCTTATTATAGGGCCAGCCCTCCCCAGGGCCGAAACTTGGAAGAGTCCTATTATTGGCCTGGAGAACATCTGGGGGCAGGGTGCCCAGTTCCAAGGAAGGGGCCAGGCCGGAAGCGAATTTTTCAGGCAAGAGCATTTCCTCCAGCTTCCCTCCCCTTCCTGACCAAGATAGTCACACGCCCCAAACTCTGCCCATCTGCCCAGCCCCCCATTTCCGGAGCCTGCGCCCTGGGACCGGGCTGGGGCTGGCCCCAGGGTAAAGGCCTAGTTTCCCGTCCTGGCCGACCCTCCCTTACCTCCGCCAGGACTCTACAGCCGCCAGCCCAGAGCCAGGAGCTGCGAGGGAGGAGGGCACCCACCTGGGCAGTGTCACATGCTGTCCCGGCACCAGAGTCCCTCCGGGTCCCAGGCGCCGGCCGGCCGTCCCCAGCACAGGCCCTGGACGCCACAGCCGCCCCACCCGCGCCCGCGCCCGCCCCTCCCCGCCCGGCCGGAGGGAGGGACCTGGTTCTCCTAGGAAGTTTCAGGTGAGGAAACCAGGGACACACCTTCCTGGGGGAGGGGCAGGGCCCGGCTGCACCGCGGCCCCATTGGTGTGAAAGAATCTCCCGCGTCACAGCTGGGAAGTGGCGACCTGGAGGGGAGCCCGGCGCAGAGGGCTGGCTGCTGGGCCGGGGACAGCGGCCGGCACGAGTGACCGGAGGCGGGGGGAGGGGGGACTCTCTTGTGCCCTTGTATGTCTCTGAAATCTGCTTGGATAGCGCTTCCCCCTGTATTTCTTCACTTGAGCCTGACTCTGGACCATGCCTTTTGTTAGCCTGTCTCTGAACGTCTGAGTTTTTTGTGTTAACATTTCTGAGTTAACATTCAATGTTAATTCTCTTCTTACTGTCTCCCTGTGACTCCCTATAAGACGAAGGGTGTATCCTGGGTTCTCTCCCTCGCCCTCATCTTCTCCCTCTCTTTCTCCCTCTCTCCCTCCCTCCCTCTCTCCCTCTCCCTCTCCCAAGAGGCCATCGCTCAGGGCCTAGGAATGAGCATCTCTAAAACCGCATGCCCAAGCCTTTCCTAGGTGTTATCTGAGTTCACTTAGGATGATGATACATCTCAGGATGTTTTTCCTTCTGTCCTCTTCCCAGGACCTCTGTGTTTGTGTGTGTTTGTACTGAAGTATCTAAGCCATTTCTCAGGCCTGCCTGTGTTTTTTTCACGGCTGTATTTTTTCCTAATTCTTTCAGGGAAAGCTTGTGTTCTGTTGGTCTGAGTCCAAGCCTGAGTGGGTCTATTTTTAATGCATCTCCATAGACTTCAAAGAATGTCAGAATTTTCTGTGGTGCGCGAGCACACGCCCCTAAGGGACCAAGGCTCTTGGTATTTTAGTCAGACTACCCCCCAACCCCACCCAGAGGTTCCATCCTGATATAAGTCAAGTGGAATCTTCATGGACTCTCTGGTTATTTTGTTCCTGGGAATACCACCATCTATGAGCCCAAACAGCTAGTGGGTTAGACCACTGGCTGCTGCATTGAACCGCTGACCATGACTACTACATTTTTGAAGGGGACTTTAGGATAGAATGTAATTAAGGTAGAACAACATCTTCTCCAGTAAAGTCCTGAAACATCTCTATGTTCAAAGAATGTGCTGCTTCAGCCACACTACTCTGAGGGGTAAGCCTTAAACAGTTCAGCAGCCTTCAGCCCACCCTACGCTGCCATATAGGTGAGGGAAGCAATGGGAGGAAACCGGGACGGTTCAGGTATGTAAGGACAGGCCTAGCACATGTCATAAGCTCAGCAAGAGGATAAAAGTGGCAAGTGCGGTAGATCAAAAAATTCATTGAAGCATTATTTACAATAGCCAAGATATGGGAGCAACATAGGTGTCCATTAGTAGATGAATTGATAAAGATTACACACACACACACACACACTGGAATATTACTACAGCCTTAAAATGAATGAAATCTTGCCACTTGAGATGGCACAGATGGACCTGGCCAGTATTATGCTAAATGAAATATGTCAAACAGAGAAAGACAAATACTATATGGTTTCACTTATATGTGGAATCTAAAAAAAAAAACAAAGCAAATGAACAAAACAAAACATAAAAACCCAGACTCATAGCAACAGAGACCAAAGGAATGGTTGCCAGAGCAGAGGGGCTGGTGGGGGTTAGGGAGTGAGTGAGTGAAAAAGGTAAAGGTGAATATAGTCAATAATATTGTGACAAGTTTGCACAATGACTGATGATTATTAGAATTAGAGGGGTGATCGCATTGTAAGGTAGAAAAACGTTGAATCACTATATTGTATACCTGGAACTAATATAATACTGTATACAAACTATAGTTAAATAAAAAATTTTTTTAAAACTTTAAGCTAAAGCTGTCTTTATTTCTAGGCTGGGAGAGCGCACTTAGACCAGGGTATGGGTGAGCAAAGTTAGTGAGCTCCTGATCCTTGGGTGGAAGGTGCTGATCGCTGCTGATCGCTGCTGTTCCACTCCTGGGAGTGGCCATGTGGTCAGAGGCACTGGACTGCCTCCCACCAACCTGGCTATTCTTCCTGCTCCACTCTGGCTTCTGTGCTCTCCTGGATTACAGCTCTGTCCTTTGTTTCCTCTCTCAGGTCTCATAGACTTGACCTCTTCTTGTTCTGACAGCACTGACCTATCAGCACTTTTGGTTTTTTTTTAAGTTACCAACCTGATTCAATGACCACTGCGCTCTTATCCAGAGAGCTAAGTATACAGGCTAGATCTGACTTTTCAAGTAGCAGTGAGATGTGGGAAAGTTAAAACTCATCAGTTAGGGAGTTAGCTCTTCCCGGGGAGCATCCCTGCCTGCAGGGTGTGTGCATATTGGGAACCAATTGAGCTCTTCTCTTTGCAAACTATGATTCCCTCTTTTTCCTTCTTTTCCCTTTCTTGATACTTGCTCTTAGTGCCTGGGCTTCTTAATCAGGGCTGTCTCCCGATCTTACTATTTTTTTAAAATATATTTTTATTGATTTCAGAGAGGAAAGGAGAGGGAAAGAGAGATAGAAACATTAATAATGAGAGAGAATCATTGATTGGCTGCCTCCTGCATGCCCCCTACTGGGGATCTAGCCTGCAACCTGGGCATGTGCCCTAGACCAGAATCTAACCTGGGACCCTTTAGTCCACAAGCCAATGCTCTATCCACTGAGCAAAACCGGCTAGGGCTCCCTATCCTCCTATTTTGATAAAGGATTTACAGTGACCTTTTACAAGCAGGAATTCATCTGAGTGATCCCTGGGGCTGTCAGTGTCTGACCAGATGTCCTACTGGGGACATCACCCTTGTTATTGGCGGTGTGGTCTCCCACTTAGTTAACTCTGACTCTCAGCAGACCCAGTGCTACTTCTTTGAAAACTGCTCTGACCTTTCTGACTCTGCCTTTTGCCTGATCCCATGAACCTTTTGAACTGATTCTGAATTCAGTTCTTAACTGGTTGACCATGGTCTCTCCATCTCTCTCCTTTAAGTCTACCCTGCTATGGTTCTTAGCTACCCAGTTTCATTCTGATGAACATTTTTTTTTCTTTTCTCATCCCTTGCAATAGCCTAAATTTAGTGCTATTCAAGATATAAATACTATTTGCCTCATTCACTGCCTTATTTATTTACTCAGTATGCATTTTTAGAAACCAGATATACAAAGACCAAGTCTCTGCCCCCAAGGAACAGAAGAAAGACACAAGAAGCACCTAGTGATAGCAGGGTGTGGTAAGGGTCATGTTGAGATCCACACATAGTGCAATGGTAACATAAAGAAGGGAGCACTGCTTAGGGAATAAGAGAAGGCTTAAAGGATATGATGAGGTTTGAGTTGACTTGTCTTAAAAATGTACTCTGTTGCTTGGGGAGAGGATGATACCAACCTTGCAAATGGGACACATTCAGTTCAGGGAAGAGCAAATAGTGTGGGCTTAACCCGAGATGGGTGAAGACATGGCAGAGAAAAAAAGAAAAAAATAGTAACTATGTAAGATGATGGGTATGTTAATTAGCTCAATTGGGATCATTTCACAACATATATGAATATCAAAATATCAAGTTGTATACCTTACATATATACAATTTTTGTCAATTAGACCTCGATAAAATGGGGGGAAATCCTTTAGAGGAGCCGCATCTCTGGAAGTATAAAGTCCAATCTCAGTAGCATGCGTGGCCTACAAGCTTCTTCATGAGGCTACCTTGACTACACTCTCCCCAGGTTTGATTATTTTGAACGCAGGAATGATCTTGGTTCTTTTGTAATTGTCCAAACACTGTTTTTCCCTTCAATAGAAAGTTACTGGCTTTATCCCTAATTTTAGTACTTGATATCTGTTTCTGGAAGTGTCTTGTTCCAGCAATCACAGTCCTCAGTGATTGTCCTTAGGAACAAGTACCCCTTTCTCACTTTCATCCATATTATCCATTCTTCCAATTGCAGCCACAACTCCTATAGCTGCACAGCAGGTTTCCTGTCCTACTCCTAATAGTGGGCCCAGTGGACCTTATTGTCACTGTGCCCCTGGGCTTCTGCTTGTCCTCATCTCCCTGTGGGAGCAGAGAGGTCCTAGTGACAAAAGATAGAGGAAGTGGCCAGTTTTGATTGCTGTGTCACAGTTTTGATTGCCAAAGAATGAAAGACACAAAAATGGAGATAAAAATAAAGATGAATAGGGATGAAGATGTCATTCACATCAGTAGAAACATCTTTCTGTTTCCATTATGATACACATATTCTTGCCTCCATGGCTCCCTCAAGTCAGGGATACTGAAGATATTAAAGTCATAGAAGCAAACATTAAAAAGAAAAGGAGAGTTAGGAGGACAGTTCAATCCTACCCTTTTAGAGATGATCAAACAACTCCAGAGAGGATGTGACTTAAAAGATCATACTCCTCACTCCTAGGAAGTGGCCAAATATGGTTAGAATCCTCCTACTTAGGCTACCAACTAAGTTTGTTGAGCATTTACTTTAGATTGCCTGCATTTGTGATATCATTAATATGCATAAATTCAAGGTAGGATGCTCCTTGTTGTAGGTTATACAAAGGCAATTCTGACTCTGTCCCAAAACAACTTGGAAAATGTAGATGGAAATGGTAAAATAGTGTCCTAAAGCAATCCCTGATAAGCCTAAAGAGAGGTAAAAATAAAAGTGCCAGGGAAATCCAAAGGAAAGTATGATTAATGTGGGCCAGAGTGGAAAGAAAGGCTTTATTGAAGGGTTGAATCCTGAGCTGCCCCCAGGTGGAAAGTGTGGGTGGGTGTGGGAGATACATTTCCATTATAGTTGATGCTCTATGCCACACCTTAGCATCCAGGTTCCATGCCTGACACACATATGTCTGACAGTGGTAAGAGCAGCATTTTGGAAAAGGACTGGGCTGAATGGTGACCATGGAGCCTTGAGACATCAACTCGGGTATGTGTGGAGGTGGTGGAAGGCAT